TGCAAGGAGGCCCTTCCTCCTTGCTGGGGCCACTCCCTGCCTCTCTCTCAAGCAGTCACACTGTTCTCCTTCCTGCTCTCACTCTGCTCCCTCGCCTTCCTCCCACAGGCCTGTGTTCACTCTGGTTCTTTGCCTGTGGCAGTACCCCTCTGCTCTTGCCCATCCCTGGTTAGCCCCCACTCACACTTAGAACCTAACTCCCTAAGAGCTCCTGTTGTGCAAGCTCTCTTGACAGTTAGTGAGGTGAAATATCTGCTGTCCTCCTGCTGCACTAAAGAGCTCATCCCTTGTAGACATTGCACAATTGTACTTTTACATTTTGTGTGTGTGTCAACATTTGCCTGATCCCTGTATTCCTCAAAAAACTGGGGGCTGCATGAGCCTACTTTTCTCTCTATTTTCCCTTGCTCTCCATCCCTGTCAGTCAGTACTGTCCCTGGCACATAGTAGGTCCTTAATTCATATGCTCAGTGAATGGACCTCCATGAAGGAGATGATCTCTTTCATTCCCTTTTCTCATTTATTCCTCTTCTAGAGATTAACGAGAGTTGTTAATCTTTTTTTAGTCTCACTGCTTTGATTGTCTTGCTAACCTTTAGCTATAGAAAACAAAGTAATTTGACATCCCTCCTCACAATTGTTCTAGGCAGCAAGTGGTCTAAAAAATTATTAAGCTAAATAACATCTTCATAAGACACATTCTCACTTTTGCTCTTTAAAAAATAACAGGTAAGAGTGTTCCTATTTCTCCACATCCTCTCCAGCATCTGTTGTCTCCCGATTTTTTTAATGATCGCCATTCTAACTGGCGTGAGATGATATCTCAGTGTGAACATGTGGACTCAGGGAGAGGAGCATCACACACAGGGGACAGTTGGGGGGCACAGGGGAGAGACAATGGGGGGTGGGGAGGGAGGGGAGGGTGGGGAGGGATAACATGGGGAGAAATGCCAGATACAGTATGCACCTAAAGTAAAATAAATAAATAAATTAAAAAAAAATAACATAGGTAAGCAAATTAACTAGTCTAGCTACATTCATCTAGGTAAATTGAAAAGTAGATGTGGGATATGTATTTTAGACTGGAGTCTATTTCTGGCAGAGTGGAGGTGGGTCTGATTTCATTCTCAGCTTGGCCACTGACTGCGTACTTCACCTTGAGCAACTGATCCAAGTCTAGCACGTCTGCCGAGCTCAAGGTGTTTGTTTAGGGCCAGCTGAAATGTTTAATGCAAAAGCACTTTGGAAAATACAAAACCTCAAACAAATTTAGTTTAAACAAAAATGCAAATGATCCGTCAGACCCACAAGTGTGCCATTTTTCTTGAACAGTTCAGGCACATGCATTCCTGGTCACGCACCTGCTGGGCTGATGAGATCAACCCATCTAACCCATCTGGCACATTCTGGTTCACAATTCTTTCCCATGCCATGCTGTAGCCAACATAGTCAACGATTTATGTGATGGGACTCCTGGGATGCAGCAAAGTAATGACTTATGAGGATAGCATCTGGATGGAGAGATGGTGGTTGCAGCCACCTGGCAGAGATAAATTTGCTGCCTAGTATTGGACTTATCCAGATCCATCCCAGCTACTAAACCAATTAGCCTGTAAAGTAGCCGCAGTCATTTCTATCAAAAAAGTTTTGGATGACAGTGAGGAGGGAATCTAGCTTTAAAGAGAAAGGCAGGGGGAGGGAAGAAAGCAGAGCTTGTAGGAGAAATCTTGAGAAAGTTTTCCTGAAAGTCCAAACAGCTTGGAATACAGATTTTTGGGATATGGAGCAGATGGTCAGAAATGCAAGCAGTCAGACCTGGGACACTGCACTGAGCACATAGCCCAGTATGTTTTTTTTTTTTCACTTTAGTAGCCGTGTGGTTGTGTACTCACTGTGTATACACAATGATAACTTATGATATGTAAGTTAATTCTATGAAGCTTATGCATAAAATGCAAGAACTCACCAAGAACTCCTGTGATCTTCCATAGTGATCAGATCTGAGCACTCTACCGAGTTGGAGGAAAACATAGTACTGGCTGCCCTTGTATTGATTCTAAATGGATGTTATAACATCCTCTGTTGAGTGTTGGACTCCAGCCTGCAACTGAATTTTTTAGAGCATGTTATAATATTTGGAAATCAAGTGAATCACGCTTGCTTTTTCAGCCAGAAAAACAAGTTTTCTCTCTCAGCACACACCAGGTATTGCCAAATGAGACGGCTGCTGATTTGGGGATCGAGCCTTGGTTCTGATTTCCCAAAACCCCTTCTCCTTCCATTGTGACTATTTGTTTCTGATGATTTATATTGCTCTGTCTTCCTGTGTGTGAGTTGGCTTAGCTGGAACAGTGAATGCACTAATGGTCATTTAGTTTTACTAAGCTCCACAGGCCTTATAAGCCCAGGCAGGCAGACTCAAATGATAAACCAGGCTTCAAAGGTTTAAGTGAAATATTCAGGAGAGTCTGGATGCAAACTGGGAAATCACATTATTCATCTGTTCTCAAATTCTCAGGAAGCATCCAGCCTGGGCACGTGGGCCATTTTTTTGTTAGCTTCTAGGAAGTGGGTCTGCAGGCCTGGGCCCCTGTTTGAGTATCTATCTGTACACTTCTTCAGACTGCAGCTTTTCAAGGTAAGGAATAGCTAATTGTGATTTTTAGATTCTATGATGGTTGAAGATATAGCTAAGATGAGGGTGTATCTAGAGGCCACAAATACTCTCACTGATAACGGAACAGTGAGAAGAGTCCTGTGGATTTCATGGAAAGACAGGTTCATTCCCATTTCTGCTAACCTCTGTATCTCATTTGCAGGCACTTGGAATTCTACCATGAAAGTGATGTCCTGGTGTGGGTGGGGAAGTGTGGAATGGTGGTGGTGGTGTGAGTAAGGTAGAGAAAGCATCCTTTATTCCATATGAGTTCAGATTCTCTTTGGTCTTACCTAGCTCCTTAAAATGTCCACAGTTTCCTTTCAAATATACACTATCTAGAGAGTTTCACTTGGGTGCAGATCTAAAACTGGAAATAACTTGATGTTCTTGACCTACACCAAGCACAGAGATTACATCCTGTCCTTCTAGTTTTTTTCTGCTAATACAGATTGGTGCTTTTAGTAATAACACAGGGCCATGCTCGATAATCCTCAGCTCAGAGCAGATGCCTTAGGGGATAGGATGCTCCCCTTTGTCCTTCCCTCCTTCACCACCATGGCTGCTCCTCTTTAAGGATCACATGCCCAGGAGTGGACTTTTTAACTTTTTAAAAAGTTAAAAGTTTTAAATGTTTTAAAAACATGTTTTCTAACTTATGCCACAGCAAGCCAATGAGGTATATGTTATTTCCATTTTACAAGTAAAGAAACTGAAGCTCAAGGAGATTGAGTAAATGTAGGAGCTGGGATTGAAAGCAAGGTTGGTGTGATCCCAAGGCTGATACTATTTCCAGTCTTACGCTGAAGATGATCCTAAAAATGTCTTCTTTAAATAATGTATTGCTTATTGCTTCATTGTAAAAGGAGTAAATTTTTATTTTTAAAACCTGGGAAAGACTGAGAAGTATACAGAGGAAAATAATCATTTTTAATTCTGTCTTCTAGAGATCACTGTTGTTAGCATGTTGCTGTTCAAAGGCTAAGACCTCAGATCTTGACTTGCATCAGATGTATTCACTCTAAGTGATGTCAATTCTCTAGGCCTCCTTTGTAAAGTGGGGAGAGAGAACAATGTATCTTCTGGTGCTTATAATGATTCAATGAGCTGTTTTTAAAAAGAACTTAGTTTATAATAAGAAATCAATATATGTTTGCCATTATCATCAGACTATCTTTCTGAGCTTTTCAATGTGCATACAGATATTTTAAATTCATAAGATATTGTCAAATTATTGTACTGTCCAAGTAGATCCTGTTTGGTAACATGCTTTTATTCTTTTGTTTAATGGATATTTTTTCATCTCACTGAGTGTTAAAGATTTAGGTTATTTATTTTTTGAATTTTATAAATTATATTGGTGCTGGTGGAGTAGAGAGAGAGAGAATAGGGTGAGGAAAATTTAGCTCTGTGTGTGTGTGTGTGTGTGTGTGTTTGAGACAGGGTCTCACTCTGTTGCCCAGGCTGGAGTGTGGTGGTGTGATCTCAGCTCACTGCAACCTCCGTCTCCCAGGTTCCTCAGTAGCTGGGACCACAGGTGTGTGCCACCATACCTGGCTAATTTTTGTATTTTTTGTATAGAAAGGGTTTTGCTCTATTGCCCAGGCTGGTTTCAAATGTCTAAGCTCAAAGCAACCTGCCTGAGTTGGCCTCCCAAAGTGCCAGGATTACAAGCAAGAGCCACCATGCCCAGCCACATTTTATTTCTTTAAAAAAATTATCTGAAAAAAATCTAATTATCAAAATGTTAAAGTAATATTTGGGAGCTGGTAGAGGAGTTACATTTTTTTTTTTTGTAATTCCGAAGCCAAGTAATTTTCTATTTGTATTTTTTTTTTTTTGATGAATTCCTTTGACCATTTTTTCTGTGGTGTATTTCTGGTTTTTGTTTGTTTGTTGGTTTGTTATGGAGTCTTACTCTGTCGCCCAGGCTGGAGTGCAGTGGTGCAATCTTGGCTCACTGAAACTGTTCAAGCAATTCTCCTGCCTCAGTCTCCCAAGTAGTTGGGATTACAGGCATCTGCCATCTGCCCAGCTAATTTTTGTATTTTTAGTAGAGATGGGGTTTCACCACGTTGGCCAGGCTGGTTTCAAACTCCTGATCTCAAGTGATCCATCTGCCCTGGTCTCCTAAAGTTCTGGGATTTCTGGTTTTTCTTAATGATTCATAAGAAGTTCTTATGTAGTAAGGATATTAATCCTGGGTCTGGATAATCCATAGAAAATAATTCTTCCAAGTTTGGATGGAACTTAGGTTTTATGTTATCTATGCAAAGATGAAAAAGACCTTCACATTCTAAAGGCCACAACTCATACCCAGCCATTTGCTTACTTTTGCCTGCAGACCTCCAGTGGAAGTCTGGGCACATGGCAGAGAGCCTCACAAACATGCCACGGCACTCCCTCTACATCATTATCGGAGCCCTCTGTGTGGCCTTCATCCTCATGCTGATCATCCTGATTGTGGGGATTTGCCGCATCAGCCGCATCGAGTACCAGGGATCTTCCAGGCCAGCCTACGAGGAGTTCTATAACTGCCGCAGCATCGACAGCGAGTTCAGCAATGCCATCGCGTCCATCCGGCACGCCAGGTGGGCTGCAGGGGCGGTGTGGGGAATGCTGCCTTTATGTGTGCATTCTTGGGAACAGGGTCTTATTATACACAGGACTTTCCATCTGCAAAGAGGAGATTTTAAAGAATGGAATGTAGGTTCCACATTGCATGTGGGGATAGATCATTCGGCCACTTGATAAACAAACTCCTTTTAATTTGCTGCTAGCTTTTCCTTTTGTTTTGTTTACATTGAATACATTTGGTCATCTAATTTGTGTTGCTCTGCTACTATATATATCTGATTTGTGATCACAGTGTACTAAAAACTTTTTTGATGAATTTTTTCTTTGGAGAATGTCTTTTGCCATGTTAGTCTTCCAACAGTCAGCATTTAAATGATTTGACTTATATATAAATATAAGTCAAAATATAAATCATTTGACGACTTAAAGACCTAGTAAAAGAAGGATAAAGAGCTATCTTTCTACTTTTAGAGTGAATATTTATAAAGCATTGTCCCTTTCTGGGAGAAAGGCTCGAGGGACAAGGAGTTAGTGTGGTGTGTAGAATGAGTGTAAGTTCTGGTGAGGTGTAGCTTTGAGTCTTACTGACTCCATTACCTGAATCTGCAGTTTAGACAGATCTTTTAACGTTCCACAAACGGAGCTCCCTCAACTGTATAAAGTGATAACTATCCCTCCTTGGAGAGTTCTGGCAGTCATGTATAAATTACAAATATGTATATACTTTTTTTTCAACTTTTATTTTAGGTTCCGGGGTACATGCGCAGGATGAGCAGGTTTATTACATAGGTAAACACGTGCCATGGTGACTTGCTACACAGATCAACCCATCATCTTGGTATAGTCCAGCATCCATTACAAATATTAAAGATGGTATAAACAGATAACCCCATATTTACTTCTCCAAATCTATTATATAGCACAAAATAATCAGCTAAGATAACATTTTACTGATTTTGAAGAGTATATATTTCAAAAATAATAGCAATATTGTTTATTGAAGTAAGCCATCTCTTCTTTTAATTGATAGAATAATCTCAAGCACACAATTCAGAACGTAAGGGTGCTGTAGTGAAAAGTGGGGTGAGTTTGATGCCTTAAGATTGGGGCTCAAGGTAACTGGTTATGATCTGTCTTTGGATGTCCTATGTTGGTATTGGTCAAGACATGAGAAAACCTGGTCAGACATGGTCATTCACACCTGTAACCTCAGCACTTTGGGAGGCCAAGGTAAGTGGATCACTTGAGGTCAGGAGTTTGAGACCAGCCTGGCCAATGTGGTGAAACCCCATCTCTATTAACAAAAAGTAGTCAGGCATCACAGTGGGAATCTGCAATCCCAGCTACTCAGGAGGTTGAGACAGGAGAATCACTTGAACCTGGGAGTTGGAGGTTGCAGTGAGTCTTCTCGATGGTGCCACTGCACTCCAATCTGGTTGACAGATGGAGACTCTGTCTCAAAACAAAAACAAAACCAAAAACCCTGGGTTTTCCCTCTCAATAGCACATATCTACATCCTTAATCTTTTCCATCCTTTTCATCTCCATCTTGTTTCCTTTGAGGACCTTTTTCCATCAACCTGGGCAGGCCTGTAGAGGTTGAACATCATTCCTGGGTTCTGTCTCTGCCACTTCTGCTCATTTCCAAATCAGGCAGCCTGAGAGCCGGCTGCAGTCGCCTTCACAACTGCACTCCTACAGGACACATCTGCCTTTCTACACTGAGATTTTTACTCTTCATCAATGGGTTCCGTGTTTATTTTGAATTTCTGCTTAGCTTTTTGCTAGGTACTTATTGGGAAAGTGTAGCTTCAGATTCTGGTTACCGTGGGAATGATAAGAAATACAAGTGAAATATCATAAATATTTTCTTATATCCACCTAATTAAATGATAACAGCAACAACAAAGATAAGCACTGTAATCCCAGCTACTCTGGAGGTAGAGGCAGAAGAGGCACTTGAACCCGGGAGGTGGAGGTTGCCGTGAGCTGAGATCATAACACTTTACTCCAGGCTGGGTGACAGAGCAAGACTTCATCTCAGAAAAAAGACATGAGAAGACCCAAATTCTGTCTGAATGTCATAGAAGCTAAGAGGTTCAAAGAGTTTGCTTTATCTGAAAGAAATTCTCAAAATCCAATTCCCAGATCTTACAGTGATCTTGTCATTCTAATAGAAGCAAAAGCCAGAACTCAGCTTCCACGGGGAAGAGCCAGTGGGAGGGAGAACTTGGGAGACCCTGAGCATCTGCCTCAGTGCTGAAGTGGGAGCTGCACCCACTGTTGCTTATGTACCACGAGGGAAAACAGAGAACTCAACTCTCCTCCATCTTGGGCCCTGCATGGCTGCATGGCTGCATGGCTGCTCATCTTTTTTTTTGAGACGGAGTTTCACTCTTGGTACCCAAGCTGGAGTGCAATGGCGCGATCTTGGCTCACCACAACCTCCGCCTCCTGGATTCAGGCAATTCTCCTGCCTCAGCCTCCTGAGTAGCTGCGATTACAGGCACATGCCACCATGCCCAGCTAATATTTTGTATTTTAGTAGAGATGGGGTTTCACCATGTTGACCAGGATGGTCTGGATCTCTTGACCTCGTGATCCACCTGCCTGGGCCTCCCAAAGTGCTGGGATTATAGGCGTGAGCCACCGCGCCTGGCTGGCTGCTCATCTTAATGCCTTCCTTTCAGGGCCACCTGAGACAATGCAACACCCAGGAAGCCTGATACCAGGCCTTGCAAGCCCCACCTTAATTGTTTATTTGACTCTTTATTCCACTACCCTGTAAATCAAAGGCAGTAGATTTTATTTCTGTGTCTCCAGTGTATCCTGGCAGGTAGTAGATCTCACTAAAATTTGAGGTTTGAAATGAATGGATGATCTCAGTTAAAGGTTGGCCTAGGGGGCCTTGACCTGCTTGAGAGGTAGACTCATCCTAGGGTACCAGCTTAGCTAGTGCCCCCAGCCTAGAGGAGCATTTACAGTATCCTGAAATTACTAGATCAGAGATGAGGAACATAAAAAGAGGCAGAGAATTGACAAGTTTGTTTGGTGCCCAAGAATCTTTTCTCTCCTCATCATTTCAGAGGGGCTTCATTCACCAGGAGGGAACAGAATCCATACATTATATTTCACGTGTTGGGAGACCCAATAATGCAGATTCCCTGTGTCCCTACAGGCATTCATGGCTACAGTCCTTCAGGGCTCAAGAGCAGGAGTGTTTTATTTCAGCCCCAGAATCAGTGAAGATTCCTCTCAGCATTTTGCGCATATGGCCCATGGGGAAGATATTTAACTGAATACTCTTGGAAGGAAAGAATCAACTTGAAAGCATTTATAAACCTGGTTCTTATTTGGTGCTGATTTATATCAAAAATATTTACTGCAGAATTCCTAACGGACAAGCTCCTGCATGCACCAGTGACTGCAGATAAAACTATTGACATTAAAACAATACCTTCCCTTTGGGAAAACTTCTCTTCTGAGCGTTTATTCAGCTACAACCTGTAGTTTCTGCAGCGTGGCTGTGTAGAGGCCATGGCGGGGTCCTGGGCTGGTTGGCTCTCTTTGCTCTCTTTTCCTGGAAACCCTAGAAAGGCATTGGCAAAAACTCAGACCTTTTGATGTTATCCTTTCCCTAGTTTTCAAGAGCCAGTGTCCATTTTATGGGCTGAATCCCTGCTACTACTTGGAGGTGACATTGGATGAGAATAACTACAGCCCAGCAGCCACACAGGACACATGAAGTGGGTCACCTGTGATAGTCATGAGTGACTGAGGCCATGTCGGATGATTCTGATGTCAGAGTCTATTGGTGCTAAGGAGACCCTTCCCCCTCTTCCTCATCCCAGGAGTCATCTGCTCCATGCCTGCTTTGCTTTTACTCAGGCAGTGAAGAGCTTGTGACTGACCAGCAGGAGCAAAGCCAGGGCTCTCCAAGTCCTGACACCGAGGTCCCACTTGGTTGATGCTCTGTGAGCCAGACGTGCCTGATCACAGGAAACAGATAATAGGGGGCATGTTCAGTTTTTTCCCCCGATAGCTCAAAACCTTCCAATTTTGACCTTTCTCAAGATCTGACATTCTCTCTGTGGCATTGTTTTAGTAGTTAACTTTCAGAGGACCATGAACTAGAAGAATGTATGCTCTTTGATCTGCCTTATAACGGGTTGCGGTATCTTTTGTTTCTTTGAAGAAATAGACACACAAGACTTATCATCAAATAGGAGGTTTGAGACGTCTGTGCTAACTGATATTACTGGTGCTATCTTTTCTGTTAGTGCCTCTGTGATGGCCAACATCGACTGAGTGCTTCCCGTGGGCCAGACACCGCGCTGTTTCATTCACAGATAACTCATTTGCAAGCATCTCACAAGCACTGAAGCGTCCGTGTATCATTAGTCACCCATTATAGGCAAAAGGAATTTGGGCTTAGTGAGATAATACAATTTACACAAGGGTCACAGAGTTTGCAAGTGAGAAAGCCAGGACTTGTAAGCCAGAGTTTGTAAACGAGAAGGAAGGTTTGCTGGTTTGAAGGTGATGCCTTTCAATGCAGCACTACACAGGCTCTTGTCAGGCACAGGTTAAATGAGAGCTTCAGTTTATGGGGTCCTTGCATGCACGAAGGTTGCAACAAAGTGTTCAGATTCTAGGCGTGGAAGCCAGATAGCTCCACCTCCCACCAAGGTCTGTCTTCATCTGTAATATAGAATAAATGAGATGTGTCTTCTGTGTCTTCATCTGTAATATAGGATAAATGAGATAAACTTCTGTGTCTTCATCTATAATATAGGATAAATGAGATGTACTCATTTCACAAGGTTGTTATGGTGATGAGATGAAATGATCAATCAGTGAAAACAAGATAGTGGAACACGACATTGAGTGAGCACCAGGGACAGTGCTGGATGCATCACCCCTCAAGGGACTGGGAAGCGGCCAGAGACTGAGCCACCACATGAGGGTATTCAAGCTATTTTTCCAGGAGGAGGGGAGTATGTCAACTCATTCCCATCTTTTAAACATCTGGCTTCCTCATGGACCATGAACAGACATTTCCCAAGTGTCATTGTCTGTGGTCATGTCATGGGCCATGAGCTACCTCAGGTGGAAACATGTGACTATAAACCCTGAGTGTTCCACCCAGCCCACCCCACCCAGCAGCACAGAAGAAACATTTTATTATTGTTTTAACTTGCAGGATTTTTTTTTTTTACTTAATAAGAACGCTAAGTAAAACATTATATAGAATATTGATTAAAAAAATCAGTCTTAAAACAGTATGCAGAGTATTTTCTCAATTTTGTTAAAATATGTAATAATTACTATATATAATACTTTCAGAGATGCTTAATACATATTTGTAAAATGAATAGATGTGGAAATGAGGGATGGGCAGACTAAAGAATAATGTATAAAACATTGACACGTCCTTCAGAGAGCAGGACTAAGGGTGATGCTTATGGTCTTCATCAGGGACCTGTAAAAGATTTTAGAGTTTGCAGGCCATATTGTCATGACTACTCAACTCGGCCTATATTGTGCAAAAGCAGCCAGAGGAAGTGTGAATTGGCTTGACTATGTTTCAATAAGACTTTATTTGAAAAACAGGCGTCAGGCTGAATTGGCCTGTGGACTGTAGTTTGCTAACCCCAAGTCTATATTATAATTTTCTCGAGCTTCCAATTTTATTTTATTTATTTATTTTTTTTACAATTAAAATATACTTTTATGATAAAAAGTAGTTTGTTATTTTAAAAATGAACACTTGCATAAAAATGCCTACAATAAAATAGGCAGCCTCCGATGTTGATTTAGTGCCCGAGATATAAAAAAACTGTCAGTCTTTGAAATGTAGATATGAATGCACATTTGTTTATCAACAAATATAAGCCTGCCACTGTGAGAGGTGCAGGAGATGCAAGCAAAGTCTTTTCACTTTTCCGTGTGTTTGAAAACTGTGATGTTTCTATAAAGGAAGCCATTTTAGCTTCCGTAGGGTACGTACTGCATTTCAGGTAGCAACCTCCAAAATTCTCCTAAGGAATTTGGACAAAGTTTTCACAGCCAGTAAATCAAAGTACAGGGATTCCAGCTCCAGGCCTGCCTGCTCTCTCTTCTAGTGCTGGGGCTCTTGGTCTTATTTTAACCACCTCTGTAACTTGCATTATACTTGATGAGCCATACTCATTTGGAGTTAATCCCATTAGGACTGAGCCACACAGCTCCGTTAACTAAGGGTAGACACAGAGAGGTGCTCCTTGTTCTTCAGTCAACTTTGAACATGCATAGGTGACCACGTGACTCACTCTTGAGTAGCATCAGACCTTGCCTCATACTCGGTGGATCTGTGACACTCCTCCTTAAACCCGCCTTGACAATATTGAGTTCCAAGGCAACATCCAGGTTTACAGCCCTTCGAATTATAGATTGTTATTGGGTTAAGTAAAATGAAGTAAGCTTTAATGTTCTAGATTTTGAGGAAGCAGATCTTTTTCGAACTATGCAATTATATTTAAAAATGGGCGTTTTAAAGATATATGCCATCTATTAAGTTGCTCAGGTTTATCCTTTCAGCCATCCAATGAAATAATTAATCAGTATAATTTGTTGGCCCTCAGGTCAAAACTCTTTATAGCCTACTGTGTTAGGGTACGGAGAGCTCTTTGCTGGGTATTTTTTGTTAAATTATTATTAATAGTGGTGATGCATGTAGCTATTTTATGTGAAATAAATTGTCAAAATATTTGCATCTTAAAGTAGCCTAGGAAATTGTCAGACTTGGGAAAAAGTGTAAGACCCAACGGGCCTGTTGACACTTTTACTCTGTTGACATTTTTTCCATCCTTAGATTATGCAGACCTCACTCCATTTAGGGAAATAGACTGCAGGCTGGAGTCTGACCCACATCTATGTGAGCACCATGGTGGACTTTCATTTTAGAAAGTATTACTGAAGTCTTTTGTAAAATTGCAGTAATAGCTGTGGGTTCTTCTGAGGGCAGAATGCTTGAACTATTTAACCCTACGTTTTGCTAGTGCCTGCCTGGCATAGCATGTACCTTTGCATTCTTCAAAGCCAGTACAACTTGAGAGGATTGGAATACAAGATTGATGACAGTTGAAAATGAAAGATCATATGAAAAACACACAGTTTTCTCACTTCTCACTTGAGTCTACTTCCCATCTCTGTACATGAGAAGACAGACTTTCAAAAGATATCCAGGGAGAAAATAAGAAAAGAGACAAGTTGGGACGGGAGCCTTGGCAAGTAAGCCCCTGTAATTCCTACGGACCCCATCCTAGGAATGTTTTAACATTTAAGGTTCTTTTCAAATGCCAAAGAGCCCTGGTGGACTTGAAACAGTTAAAAAATGTTGTCCAGACAAAGGAGGTGGGGTGATGGGTTAGGGAGGAGGATTGTTTGAATTATGTTGTACTCCAGGGGTTTTAGGGAAGGTGAGGTCTTGAATGGGAAGAGACCACCCAGAAGCTGAGTTGGCTTTATTTTAAAAATTGCCATCTTAAGAATGGTTTGACAGGAAGTCCTGAAATTGGATTTTGACTCCCCTGGCTTCTGGGAGTCAGTCCTGCTGTTGAGGCCGTTTTGATATGTTCAAACCTGTTGGGACTATGGCTTTGTGCTCAGAGGAAAACGCCAGCTTCTGTGTGCGTAGGGTTGGAAGGTGATAGGTGGGTGGGATTTAATGGTGAGTTCTGGCATAGTTTGTGGACAGACTCTGTATCTGAACTCATTTCCCACCTCTGCCCTCTTGCGTCGGGATCTCAGATGACCTTAAACCTTCACAGCTTATCCCCTGAAAATCCCTCAGGAATGGTGTCTGTCCACAGCCGGGGAAAGACTGCCCTGCTGTTCAGTATTCCAGGCACTAGAGTGGATGTAAAATAAACTCGCCTCTCCAAACATTTATGGGCCTCAAAAGAAAAAGACAAATCAATACATATATTTTCTTAAAACCTATTGTGGAGCTGCCAGGCTTGGCTGCTTTGCCAAGATTGAACCTACAAGCTCCAACATTAATTTGAGTTCTGTGTTTTACGAAATACATTTTTTTCTTTTGCCTCTAACTCGAAAGACTAATGTTTATACACATCCGGTGTTAATATCAGGATGTCTAAAGTTCCTGTACTTGCTAGAGAATATATTTTTACAGTTCCATTTAATTCACGCATATAAATTATGCTCATCCCTTGCTTTTAATTAAATGCGAGATCTACTATTTATCTAACCAGAGTCCTTTCTCTCTGATTTCAGGTTTGGAAAGAAATCTCGGCCTGCGATGTATGATGTGAGCCCCATCGCCTATGAAGATTACAGCCCCGATGACAAACCCTTGGTCACACTGATTAAAACAAAAGATTTGTAATCATTTTTTGGATTATTTTTCAAAAAGATGAGATACTACACTCATTTAAATATTTTTAAGAAAATAAAAAGCTTAAGAAATTCACAATGCTAGCTGTTCAAGAGTTTTCAGTAGAATATTTAAGAGCTACTTTTCTGCAGGGTTTAGTTTGAAAAACGTATTTTAAAAACAAAATTTGTGAAACCTATAGACTACGTTTTAATGTACCTTCAGCTCTCCCAACCGTATGCTTCTATTAGTGTGTGCTCTTTTCACAGTAGACACTGTCGCGAGACCCAGATACTTTTCTGCGGTTGTTACAGAGTAAGTCTAGTCAAGGAGAAGTTTCTGTTTGACGTGTGAGTGCCGCCTTTCTGAGTAGAGTTAGGAAAACCACGTGACGTAGCGTAAGATGCATCATAGAGTATACCCGTTACTTAAAAAGAAGTCTGAACTGTTTGTTTTGTGAAAAAGAAGCTAGTTAAATTGATTATTCCTAACCCGAATGAAATTAGCCTTTGCCTTATTCTGTGCATGGGTAAGTACGTAATTTCTGCACTGTTTTGTTGAACTTTGCGGAAACATTCTTTCGAGGTTGTTTTTGTCATTTTCCTAACAGTCGTCGAACTAGGCCTCAAAAACGTGTGTAATAAAAAGGCCTAGCGAGGCAAATTCTGATTGATTTGAATCTATATTTTTCTTTAAAACGTCAAGGTTTTTATATTGTGAGGAAATGAAATTCACCTTTGAGTTGTTTGTTGCTAAGAGATAGTAAACGTAAGAGCGTACTGGTTCCTTCAGTAGTGAGTATTTCTCATAGTGCAGCTTTATCTCTAGGATGTTTTCGTGGCTGTATTTGATTGATATGTGCTTCTTCTGATTCTTGCTAATTTCAAAGAGTATTGAATAAATGTTATCAAGTCAAGGATGCCGTTGTCTCCTTTGTTCTTTGAAAACTACATATGAAACGTTTTGGATTTGGTATTGTCACACAATCCCATGGTTAATAGTGCTGCGGCTGCTGCCGCCCTCTCCTTTGCCTTTGCAAATCTTCCTGAGTTCCTGATTGTCAGTAAGCTCACCCTAGCTGCTGGTCAGTGTGAAATGTGGGAAAAAAAATAACAATTCTTTTCTGAAGTTTTATATCCGAATTTGCCAGTGAAATGTGGCACATGTGAATAGTGGGCACGCTGGAATCCGGAGATGCTTTAGGCATTGAGGCCAGGCACCTTGTGGCCTCAGGAAATACCTTGCATGCTGCCATCCTATGGAGGCCAAATGAAGTTGCCTTAACAGACAGCTCCACGGTTCTCAGAAGTTTGAAGGCCATTTAGAGCCACCCTATATTCAGTTCCATTTTGTATCTAAATGCTGCTCTGAAGTTTCAGAGTTATTTTTAAAAATGCATTTTTAACTGCACACGGGAATGTCTGGTAAGGAAGGCCAAGAGAAGTCCTGGAACCAGGTGTAAGGGAGAGTTTTAAGCAAAAAGAATTATTTAAGATGCTTTTCCTTCCCGCTCTACCCTCAAAACATCTGTTCCTAATCCTACAAATGACACAGCAGTGCACCCACATTCTGATCATTCAATGATACAGTGCAACATGTTAATGTTTTTAGTTAAGTGTTTGGAAGTAAAGTAAGAACAAACTATTAACTTGGTTGGTTAAACATTCGTGGGAGGCCAGGCACGGTGGCTCACGCCTGTAATCCCAGCACTTTGGGAGGCCGAGGTGGGTGGATCACGAGGTCAAGAGATCGAGACCATCCTGGTCAACATGGTGAAACCCCGTCTCTACTAAAAATACAAAAAATTAGCTGGGCATGGTGGCGTGTGCCTGTAATCCCAACTACTCGGGAGGCTGAGGCAGGAGAATTGCCTGAGCCCAGGAGGCGGAGGCTGCGGTGAGCCAAGATCCCGCCATTGCACTCCAGCCTGGGTAACAAGAGCGAAACTCCGTCTCAAAGAAAAAAAAAAAAACACATTCGTTGGAACATGCAGGAGAGTGTTGTGCAGACATATTTACTCACCTCTTCCTTTAAGAGACCCTTTGGTTGTGTGGTGCTTAGACACCTTCATCAATGACAGGAGAGAGTCATGAAAAGGCGTGAGTTGAACTGCATTTGCCTCTTCACCCCCATGAGTCCCTGGATATTATCTGAGCCTCCATGTCTTCTTTGCTTATTGGTCTTCATTTGCAAGTTGCTTCAATCACACCCTCTGAGATCATTTTCAATCTCCCAAAGTCTTAAATTCACTATATATGATGCATCTTAAAGGACTCATTTAGGCCAGGTGTGGTGGCTTATGCCTGTAATCCCAGCACTTTGGGAGGCCGAGGCAGGTAGATTACAAGGTCAGGAGATCAAAACCATCCTGGCCAACATGGTGAAATCCCATCTCTACTAAAAATACAAAAATTAGCCGGGCGTGGTGGTGCATGCCTGTAATCCCAGCTATTTGGGAGGCTAAGACAGGAAAATTACTTGAACCCAGGAGGTGGAGGGTGCAGTGAGCTGAGATTGTACCACTGCACACCCCAGCCTGGTGACAGAGCAAGAATCCATCTCAAAAAAAAAAAAAAAAGGACTTGTTTAAAAAACTAAAGTATTTTATTAATCACAGTTCTTTTATTAATTGCAGTTTGTCTCTTGAAAGCCAATTAATGGAGCCTACAAATTCAGATCTTGGGCAGAGCCTTCTGACAGTCTGAGAGTGGCCACCAGACCCATCTAAAGATATTAGCTTATTCATCTGAGCATGCGATGATAAGAATTTGTCTCATCCAGCACTTGTTCTGTGTCAGGCAGCCAGTGACCAACAGGAGCCCCACCGATGATCCTGGCTCCCAATTTTATATCTTATTTTGAACCAGACCTTCATCTAATAAATAAATATAGAATTACATTTCAAAGAGCACTGTGATGGAAAGGTAAACTCCACTAGGGCAGCTTATTTGCAGCAGAGTAGATAAAAATCCTGCTTCAATCGTTTACTTGGTAATGACTTTGGACAAGTAACTCTCTGGGCCTAAGCTTCAAAATTTGAAAAAATTGGGGATCATGATAGGGCCTCCCTTGAAGAATCACTGTGGGCATTGAACACCAGAATGTGTGTAAATCACTGAATCTCCCTCCAGCGCCCATCAGATTCAGCACATGTTAGCTATTGTTACTGTTGCTGCTGTTCTTGTTTTAGATACAGACATGATCACAAAGCAGGGGAGTACCCTCACTTTGATGACTAGTGACTGGGATCTGCAGTCAGTACATTGTGATGTCTGTGAGGAGTAGTCCTCCTCGAGCAGGGAACACAGTCTCTAAGGGTGTCAAAATTCCACCATCTCAAGTTGTTTCTTTGCACTATCTGTGAAAATCATACGTGATAAGGAAGAATTAACTGCTACTCCAGAATTCTTTTTTTTTTTTTTTTTGAGACAGAGCCTTGTTCTGTTGCCAGGTGCCAGGCTGGAGTGCAGTGGCACGATCTCAGCTCAATGCAACCTCCACATCCTGGGTTCAAGCAATTCTCCTGCCTCAGCCTCCCAAGTAGCTGGGACTACAGGCACGCACCACCACACCCAGCTTATTTTTGTATTTTTAGTAGAGACAGGGTTTCACCATGTTGGCTAGGCTGGTCTGGATTTCTTGACCTCATGATATGCCCGCCTCGGCCTCCCAAAGTGCTGGGATTACAGACGTGAGCCACTGTGCCCGGTCTACTCCAGAATTCTTGAACTGATGGTGGCCTCATAACTCAATGTAGCCATAATTAGTTCTCTAATATGTGGGTCCTCATAAGCCAAAGCAACTACATGTGATGACAGGGATCCCTGCCATCTAGAAATGGTACAGCAGTGTTTCTAGCTTATTCAGGAGTTTGTTCAAAGCTCCTTACTCTAGCTACAAAATGGCCCATGCAGATAAGTTATTTCCAAGTGGTCTTAACAGTTGAGTTGGCCTCTGTGACATATGTACCAAAGACTCCACTTAGCACAGTGGTGCTTGGGCCTCCTGCCCTGTCACTTAGTAACTCTGCCCTACTGACTTTGCTTCATGAGGCTATATATTTTTTGAACAATTTTGTCTGACTGTGATTTTCTCCAAGAACTGAAAAGTGGAAGTCTGAACTGATCTTCTCTTCAAACAATGTTATAGGTTTAGGTAAACAAAACAAACTTTTCAGGTATAAGATAGTTTAAGTCACAATTCTTACTGTTAGAGGGTTTTACAGTTTGCTTATAGGGACAAACATAAAAACTTTAGAAAAGAAAGATATATATGAAACCACCTAAAATTTTTAAGTAACCACTCACAACAACCCTGGCAGACACCATTGGGTGCCTCCACCACAGCTATTTCTCTGCCCTTCTTCTGATGCACCATAGAATTGAAAATGTCAGCTGCCACCTTCTCCAGCTTCCCTTATTGTTAGGGGTGAGTGTCGGTCAGCGTGGTTCAGTGAGCCCTTCAAAAAAATCTCCTGGGACCTCCTAAATATATTTTTCTTCCTGATTAGAGAGTTAATGAGGTATCATCAGATGTTTTCAGGCAGGAGAAAGAAGAGTTTGCCTAGGCTACAATAAAGAGCACAGACTTTGATATTATTCACAGTAGGGTTTCATGGACAGTGATGTGATTAGAATTGGTACTTGACCTCAGTTTTTTCAGCTACAAAATGGAAATAGAACTAGCTTATTTGAGCAGGTATTGGTAAACTATGGCCCACAGGCCAACATAGAGCCCAAAGCTTTTTTTGGCACAGCCCATAAACTAAGAGTGATTTCGTGTGTAAATTTTTAATACACTTTTTATTTTAGAATACATTTGATTTACAGAAGAGTTGTGAGGATGTTACAGAGTTCCCATCTACTCCACATCTGGTTTTCCTCATAAACATTTTACATTAGTGAAGCACATTTGTCACAATTAATGAACTGATGCCTTACTATGAACTAAAATCCACACTTCATTCAGATTCTTTATGTTTTGCCTACTGTCCTTTTTCAGTTGTTTCAGGAGCCTGTTTAGGGCACCACGTTGCATTTTCTCATCACATCTCCTTAGGTGACTCTTGGCTGCAATGGTTTCTCAGACTTTCCTTGTTTTTATGACCTCGAGGAGGACACTGTGTTTTCTAAGATGGTCTTCTCTATAGATTTTTATGATGTTTGACCCACGAGCAGACTGTAGTTATAGGTTTTGGGGAGGACAACCACAGAGTTAAAGTGCCATGCTCATCATGTCTTACCAAGGTTACATACTAACAGCATGATTTATCGCTGTGGATGCTGACCTTCATCACTGGCTGAAGCGTTTGTCAGGCTTCTCCACTATAAAATTACCTTTTCCTCCTTCTTTCCACACTCTTTGGAAGGAAGTCAGTCTGCAGCCTGCACTTAAGGAGAGGGGAGCTATGTTTCTCCACTTCCCTAAGGACAAAGTCCCTACTTAAATTATTTGGGATCCTGCATGAGAAATTTGTTTATTCTCCCTCATTTATTTATTCAATAACTTGTTTATACTAGTATGGACTCATGGACATTTGTGTTACTGTTTGGAGTATAATTTAATACCTCTTTTTTTGTTGCTCAAAATTTTCCATCTCTGGCCATTGAGAGCTCTTCTAATTGACACCTTTGCCATACTTTCATCATTGTGTATCTCTGTATGTGTGCATGTATCTGTGTGTGTGTGTGTGCGTGTGTGTGGTGTGCCTCCCCCTGCCTGTGTCTGTGTGCATTTTAGCACTTTCTTGCTTTTTGGCAATACAAGATGCTCCAGGCTCATCCTGTATATTTCCTGCGTCAGCCTTAGAATTGGCCATTTTTCCAGGGAGATTGGTTCCTTTCATTGCAGTGAGAGTGGTTTGTAACAAATGAGCATTTGAAATTGATTTGACATTAGCCAACTGTCTTACTCCATTTG